CTTTAAAGGTGCTATATAAAATAAAGTTTATTATTATTATTATTAACAGTACGGATGGTGTTCTCAGGATGACGTACAGTGTTATGGCTGAGCCAAACATAGTGCTTTGCATTGAGGCCAAAAGGTCGGACTACAGAATCTTCCAATTGGTCTCAGAGTCTCCCACACGCCTTCTGGCAAACTAGTGGAGATTCTATGCTGTTTTCAACAATGGCTTTCCTTTTGCCCAATCTCCCATGAAGTCCAGATTTCTGAAGCACCCAGGCAATTGTTGTCCTATGCGCAGTTTCTCCCACCACAACCATGGAAAAACTCAAATCCCTTCACTAGTGCCCTTTTCACCCAAATACTCACTTTTTGATACCCTGTTTTGCACAGATTCACAGTTATGCCATGTTTTTGCCATTTCTTTAAAAAGGATTTTTCTGTGCTTTGGGGATTATTTAATGCCTTGTAAATTCTTATACCCTTCCCATGATTGGTGCTTTTCACCATGATCCAGCTGCTATTCTGGATTTGCTTAGAATGTTCCTTAATGAAAGATGAGCTCTTTGAATGATGTAATTTTTGTTGGCTTTGAAATTTTCTCACGGCCTTCCCCTAACAGGGCTATTGAAAATCAATCCTACATTTGCTGTGAATCTTCCTTTGTCTTCACAATGTACTTTTTCTGTCGCAACAAATGCTATTGGTTTCAATACTCAGATTACTTTTTGAATGCCTGTTGGTATTTTTGAACATACGGGTAATTTAGGTTTAGTGGGTACCTGAGCCACATCCCCTCATCAGACTACAGTTTCCAAGGTGTTATGCAAAAAAAAGAAGGCATGAGCCTCTGCCACAGGAGTAGCCCTGGGCTATACACTCCTGAACAGACCTCTGTCCTCCCCATCACTTCTGGCAAGATATCATGACTCATGGTCTCCTAGATCATGGCCTGTCAGGGACGTAGTTATAGGCTTAACATCTTGCCAGGTTAAAGACTGGCTGTAAAAACCCCTGTTGTGAGTAACTTACTTCAGCCTACAACATACCAATGGCACTACCATCCTGATTAGTTGGGCAAAGCGGTTCCTTTCTCTTTCTTTCTTGATTTTCAACAAGCCTAACATGCAAAAGATTAAATTTCTCCATCGCCTGTTCCCAGTCAGCTCTTACCAATGGGGTAAATAAGTGCTTATGCAGTCTTTCTAGTCAAATGCAAAATCCACATACTTTATCTAAAAACATAATGTAGTAATTGCTATCTTTACAAACACAATATATAAATGGACTAATATCCTTTTAATGATCAGTATATACTGCTAAGTCACATTTAACACTACTGATCAGCTCTTTGTTTTCAGATTTTTTTTTACTGAATTTGAATGGAAAGAGTGTTCAGACGAGGGATGTATATACTTTTACATAAGAAAATGTAAAAAGTGTAAAATACATTTTAGTTAGCAGGGAGTTTAGAAATGTCTTCCCTAACGATTAGATAGTAGCACATTCAAGTTTTATTTCGCCACCTTTTATTATGGATGCTCTAATTCTATACTTAACACCGGTACTTAATGCCTTTCCATTTAAGACCAACTTTAAAACCTGACCTGTTTCAACGCGTCCTGGAATTATGGAGAGAAGTAGCAGCTCCATATTCAAGGTCTCCTACCACTAAGACTCCCGTTCACAAAACTTTGTCTCCCACTTCAGGATAAGGGTTTAAAACGTGCAATACGCTAAGACTGTCAAGGTGGGTGCGTACTGGTAACACTCCTCTCAGTCTAAAAGAAGGTCGCGTCCATCTTGCAGTGAATTTATTTGCAGGAGGCGCACTTTAATACATAAAAACAGTCTTACCTGAAACTCCAGGGTGCACTTCGTGCCGATCGTGATGTCCTCGTAGAAACACTGCTTAGCATTGTCTGGGAGCTCGAAGGTGAGCTCTGAGCCGCATACCCATCCCAACAGCAACTGGGCCCACAGCACCTGCACCAGCACTCCGACATTACCACTGTACATCTTCACAGCAGGGGCAGCAGAGCGATTCAGACGCCTTCTAGTTGGTATTCGTAAACCTGCACATTAATATTGGACAAATACCGTGTAAAACAGCGTTCGTCAGCTATACACTTGTTAAACGTAACACAAATTCAAATAATGAATGCACAATGTAGAATCCGAACCCGGATATCAATGGGTTTGCAAAATAATACAGAGGGACAAACACCGGCTTAAAATGGGGAGATTTCGATGCTTCGAGAATATCGGTTGTAAATACCGCTTTTAAGAAAATCTAACATCTCAGATATTAAATAAAATCCCGGATCCTTACAGTTACAACTCACTGCTTAACACGAATCCCCCTCACCCGGATGTAAGCAAATCGGCACCTCCTGCGTGGCAAAACGAGTAGCGGAAGTGACCTCCAACCCCGGAAACGATTCTAAATCAGTGGGTGGAGACTGAAGGGTCTGCTGTCGTCATTATTCATCGACTGTTGTGGGCTTGGTGTGGTTTCGGCTGTGGGTCTGTCTGTAGCCAGATAGAGCGCCGGCTGCGAGTCAGAAGGTGTCAGTGTTTTCAGTTATTGGAGATGATGCTACTGTTTGCAGTAAGAGTTTGAATTATGGAAGAAGCAAGCGAGGCAAGCCACACAGAGAGACTGTAATTATGCCTCATGCAAATAATTGTGTTTTTGTTAGCAGGCTAACTTGTGTAATTTAGAATTGAAATGTACTGGTTGATATGGGTTGCCTGACAGTGACAGTCGGTAGCGGTCCAGTTCAATTGCTGATTAAGTTCTAGGCCCTGTCACACTTGGTACTGACTAAACTTTATGCAGCATATCGATAAGGGTGAAAACATTATTCCAGTTACGTACTATTCTGAAAAAATCTTTAAAGAAAATAAGATTATTACTATTAACAAAGCATATCCTATGATTTGTTCCTCTTCAGAAATCTCTTTTTAAGTATTTCGAAGCCCCGCCCTGAACTCCTTAATGGGCGCACAAGCGAAGACAAGATAATTGCACCCATGTTGAAGACGTTAAGCGAGCGATTAATTTACCCAATTACTTGGGTAAATTACGTACTCAATCGTTAAAAATATGGAATTTAGAATAATACATAAACCAATTAATTGCATGTACAGTATTAGTGTCACACGTGTGGTTCGGTCACTGTGGGGGCTAGAAATAGGTTTCTTAAATGTATAGGTTTCCTGAAACAAAGTATATTCAACCTTTCAAGCTCCAAAGAGTTTTGTTACTGTAACAGGGCCACACTGAAAGAGCACTGTCACGTCAAAATAGTTTTTGGTATATAAATCTGAAGCATGTGGAAGTCAGTTTTAACTCTGACCCCCAAAACCATCCATTCTTGAAACAATGCAGCGAATTAAAGTTGTTACTCATGATATAATGTATGTTAAATCGTTAAATCAAAAATGCAAAATACTTAATTTATTTTTCCCCTCTCGAGATCTTCTTGTTGGTTTAATATTTGATGTTTGTGTTGCTTCTGAATAATTCTTGCGTCCAGATTTCCCTGCCGGATTTAGTTAGAGACATTTCTCTTGGAGCATAAAGACGTTTTCCTTTCAAGATATGTATTATATATTATTTAGAGCGTCAAAAACCTGCCTTGCCCTATATGTTGTTGACCAGATATATTTATAAAAAGATATATAATCCAATGTTTTTCTTTAATGCAATTGTTCTCAATGTTCATAAAGATTTACTTTCCAAATGAATTATTTATGTCATTGCTAGAGATGAACAGACATGTAATGCCAACCCAGATGACTCTGACCAGCACGTCAGGCTGCATAAGAATCAGGATAACCTGAAAAGACGTGTGAAGAACAGTATTAAGTTTAAGGACTGTAGTAACCCTTGTCCTAATATCACTCAGTTCCCAGACCTCATGGTTTGTATTCTTCAAGAATTTTAATATTTCTAAAATTTTTAACATTCACAGACACAAGTATTAAGTGGTAGAACTTTTAAACATATATAAATACACATTAGAAAAGTCCAAAATAATATATCTGAAATTGTGCATAGTAAGTACAATCTTTTTAGATTTATACGGCATCCAAAACATAATATACATGTGAAAATGTGTACGTGAAAGGTAAAATGGATCTTAACCATTCCATGTATTGAAATATAGGTTAGTCAGTTCTTATCTAACTTTTCTTTTTGTATAGGAATACCTTCCGAAGGGCTATAATTATCACGTGTGTTCGTACACAGTTAATAAAAAGCACGAGGATCACTTGGATTTTGAAGCCATGATTCGTGTACAAACGAAAACGGAGGAAGAAGTGCAACAGTGGCTCCGTGTTTTGAGAGAAACTACAAATGTGACATGGAGGATTGACAAAAGTAGACCACGCAAAAAACAGCGCGTTCTCTTTAAAGTAAGTTTAATTTATATGTATGGCCAAAGCGAGATGATATTTAAAACAATTACTCTTGTCTTTCATATGGCTATAGACTCCAGTTCTGTTGCTAAACCAGGGGACATACACAGGTTTTACCAGGAAGTACTGGTATTCTGAAATAACGTTGTCACACCCAGGCTGGGAGCAGCTTGCTGCCTGAGTTACCACAGGTAGCTGCGAACGTGAGTGCTTGCATTCCACCCCAGCCTCATCAACTCAATCGTCCAGTTGTCCCTCCAGTCACTGCCTTTAAGCTCTAAACACTAATTCGGTGCTCTGACATTGAGATACCAGGAGTAGTGCAGGTCCTAGTTGGTAAGACTCCAGATTCTCCAGGTTGCTGCTTTTCGGCTTCCAGATACTCCTGGCTGTCAGCACTGAAATTAGCGGCGTCCCTGTCCTGTCAGCACCTCCACAGCAGGCTCTCCTGTCCTCCTTTAGTCTCCAGGTTCCCAGTCGGCCTCACTGCGCCTGGCTTCCCAGTCCAGTCGGCCTTTTTTCCGGGCTTCTTTGTCAACCTCCGCCAGCCGTCTCTCCTGCTTGTGCGCCGTCTCCTGCTGGCTTCGTTCTTCTCATCCTCATCGTCTTCTGAAGTCTCACGGAGGAACACGAGTCCTTCATGTAGATCTCAGCCTGTTAATCTGACCGCGGCACAAGTTGCATGTGCAGCCTTTTTTATGGCCTAGGAACATAATTTGTTTACAGCTGTATGCTTATTCTAACAAAGCCATCATCATGCCATGTCGTAATGTTTCCAAACTGCAGCTCGGTACAGCTTTTACCGAGAATGCATTTTGACAGAGCTATCTCACCTGATGGATGGTTACTTTTTAAATCACTGTTTAATTTTTGTGCAGGCCGATTATAGGTGCCACCACAATACTAAGCCACGGTCTTCAAATGCAAATAATAAGAGAAGGTCAAAAAACACTAACTGTCCTGCAAAACTGTACATAACAGTGGTTCGCACTGCCATCAGCCAGGGAAGACAGAGTGGGTGAGTAGGCTAATAATACATCATTTTAAATAGACATTTGTGGTTTTAGCTTGCTTTTCAAACCAAGAACAGGAGGCACTTCTGTATGTCGAGTGTTGCTGGAGAATGGAACAGTCTGCCCGGCTGTGTTGTTGAAGCCAATACTCTGGCTTCTTTCAAGAAACATTGGATGAGTTCCTTGGATCATCTTAGATACCTGTTATCATACAGGGTAGATATTGTCCAATTAATTTATTCCACTCATTCCTATGTTTTTAGATTTTTACTCTAATATAATGTTTGTATAATGATGAACTTCAGTCAAAAAGACTGAGAAAATGCAGTGCAGCTTCACTCAGTTTTTTTCTGTCTCTCCCTTCATTATTTGCAGGAGTACAGATCCTCATGTTCCTCTTTATCCAACACTTATTCGCCTGGCTAATTTACACAACCATGTCGTATGTGCCAGTGATGCTCCACGACATCGGGATTTTGGTGAAGATGCCATGAGACACTTAAGTCAGCTCTGTGAGACTGGTCACTTGACGTCTTCAGCTCCCGATGTGCTGAAATATGACCTGCAAATAGAGACCTCTGAAAACTGTATTTACATTTCTTCTGATGGAGACATCTGCCCTGAACTCCAGTACTGTGATAGGTAAGTGAACTATGATTTTTTAGATGTAATTACCAAATGGTAAAATGTTTTTGTATGGGTTGAGAAATAATGAATAGGCATTAATTAGAACAAACTGAAAACCTTCGGCTAACATGAAATGAAAGTGAAAAGTTAAAGTTAAGAATGAAAAATTCAGGCCATTGGAAATTAAAAACAAATGGCTTTAATAGAAGAACATAAATTACAAACAAGAGGAGGCCATATTTGGTAGTTAGTAGGTACTCGATTAGAGGATCTCATCCAAATTATTCTTAAAATAGTCACCAGGGTATTGGTTTCAACAAGATGGCTGGATATCTTGTTCTATACTTTCAAGTAAAGACATGTCTTCTTCATATAGTTTACACTTGTGTCCCACTTGTGAATAGTATGATCAGGTCTGCTCATAGTCGTCTTGCCTAAGACTAAAAGGGTTCAATTATTTTATCCTGTCAGTTTAAGGACATTCCTTTGAATCCAGGAATGTATATGGTTAGAAAGTGAAAACAAAATATTATTATAAACCCCTAAGTCTCATAAGTCACCTCTTTGACCTCTTGACAACCTGTTCAAGTGACCTCTTGAAGATCAGCATTTCCAAAATAGACAAATCATGAATTTTATTTAAATCTTTCTGTATTTCATTGCTGTTTATATAGTGTTTCCTAATCCTGTTTTGGTATAAACTGTAAACATGAGTAGTTTACTAATTATCCCAAAATCTTGATGTATTAACATAAATAAGGAAGAGTAGTGGTCCTAGCATAGATCCCTGTAGTACTCCCAAAATTTTATCACCTCAATTTGAACATTCACCCATTCTGTGGTATTTTCTATTTACTAACCAATACAATTTTCTTAAAAGGTAGTTAAACAAGACATACCTTTTCTAAATGCGTGTTGAGTATTCTCTACTCAACTTCTTTATCTCTGCCCAATTGATTTCAGTTTTTCATTTGTAAATTTGTTCTAAGCTTTTAAATTCTAAATGAGATTTGTAAACCTAGAGTCTCAATTCCTGGATTTCTGAACTGCCCTGTCTTGAGCAGCTGTTGAAAAAGTTCCTTTAATGGCTTCGTAATAACATCTCTTGTGATTGGTAGGATACAGTTGAGTCATTGAGATTTATTTCTTGAGTGCTTCTAGTACTCTAAACATTTCTGTCTTTTCTATACCAGTGCTCTTTAATAAAGACCTTTGTGCTTCTATTGTATGAGTTATTTTGTTGGCTTATTCCTTAATAAGAAGCCTTTTTTCCTTCTCTGTTTCTAGTTGATCTGCTCTCTCTTATTTTAGATATTTACACTGTTTTATAGTTCTTAAAAACATTGTGTTTATGATCTTACCAGAAATAAGAGTAAACTGTATTTTGAGTAAATAGCACATTAATTTCTACGTCTATACATAATATTTTGTGTTTATTTTGTCTAAATTCAGTCAACTTGGATTTTCAGAAGGGACCAAAGTTTGTAACTCTGAGGCACTGAAGACATCCAGTAATTTACCAAATGTGTCTGATGACCATTCCACACTCCAGTTTGACAAGAGTATGTCTGCAAAGAGTCATTAATAAATGTTAATAAATGTTGTTAATAAATGTTCCAGTTCTACTTGTGTGCCTGAAAAATGTTAAAAATACAAAATAGAAAAATAGAAATTAGCTACGTTAATAATATTATATATATTGTTCCATAAAGAACATTAAATTTATTGTATAACTTTTAGAAGAAAAATGTTACATTTGTAATATGCATATATATTTTTCTTAGTTTTATAATTTCTAAAACATTAAAATTTTTAACTTTTGTCTTTACTACACAGATGAGTTCTCTACAATTAAACAGAAATTCCAAGACATGTGTGATGAACTTATGGCAGTGATTAATGATTCGCCAGAAAGTTTTGCAGAACCCGCACAAGCAATGGTGACGAACTTTGACAGAATTAGAAACGATAGACTGAAGGTTCTGTCAGCCATGCGCATGTTTGGTCGATACACCAGCATCAGTTCGGCTGCGCGAAGAGCTTCCGGAAATCAGCGCACAGCTAAGCACAGGGGCTGTACGGGAGCTGCTCAGCAGGCTCATAGGAAGAACAAACTTGGAAGCAGAAGACATCGTCATGCTGGAAGCCCTACAAAATTTCCCACAGATCATATCTATTATTTGCAGCAGTGAAAGCAGAAAACAGTGGAAACTGTGTTTAGTATGCGTTCACTAAACGCATAGAAAACACACCTGCTCCTGGTCCACAGAGACTTTCTGACTCTGCTTCAGGGGAAATAATCAGATTTTTTTAATAAGGGTTATTCTGACTAGAAACGTCTGTAGGAGGTTGCCTACAGTGTCACATGTAATACACATGCTGAGCAGAAATACATTGATTCTTTTTGAAATCCTTAAAAATAGAATTTACTCATAATATATTCATATTGAGAATGACGCTCACTCTGATTACAGCACAATTACTGCTGTACAGCTTATTATTCCTTGCACATTGCACATTTATTTTAATTTCATATAGTAGTGGCTCACGGGAATCAGCCTACCTAGTGCACCATCATACAAAAGCGCCCCCAGGGTCTCTCCACAGATTCCTGCCTTAATCTGTGTGCATCAGTGTTACTCCTGTGAACCTTTCCATCCTCTGTGACCCCCTGTTGTTGATCTTCTCTCTTTTCTTGGAACGCATTACAGTCATGTTTTTTTAATGCCTTTCTTTTGAGTCCCATCACATGCCATGCAAGCACAACAATGACTTTTTACCGTACAAGATGTCATTTATATTATTGCCTGTAAAAAGGTTTAATGTTATGTTATTGTTATTACAAATGCCTTCTGATGCTCTATTGATTAATTACCTTTTTGTTTTTTTTCATTTGCCAGTCATCTGAACTTGAATTGTTCCGTCTCTTGATTTTATTGCTTCAACAGATTACACAGTATTTTTAGAATCTAATTGCAGAGTTGTTTCTTCTCTAGATTAGTTTTCCTCTAGTTCTCCTTCCCTTGCACCTCTGTACTGGGACAGTGTCCCTACTGCACTGTGCTCCTGAAGGCCACTTGTTTGTTCTGCTCCTTTAGTCCTTTAACTCATCCCTATATTGCTTCAGTGTCCTATCTTACGTTTTAGGGCTTTTGTTTTGCATTACTCTGCTTTTAAGACTTGTGGTTCCTTTCAGCATCTTAATTTCTGTACGTAATCTTGTTTTAACTAACTTGAATTAAGGTGAGTTATTGTCTTTCCAAATTTAATCTAGTTTGTACTTGTTGGCATTATTTTGGCATTTAATTTTTCACATTTCAATTATTGTGAATGTAAATGAGTCATAAGATGACAAAATTATATCCACTCCACTTGGGCATAGAATAGTATTTTAGCAAGATTGGAAACTCACCTAATTTGGTGATAATGTGGAAAAAGCTTGACGTGAGGAATTGGTCGTCCCAATGAACAAACATCAGTCTAATTAAAACGTTATTTTCTTAAATCAAAAACAGACAAAAATATAGACACAGGACAGAAACTGCAGAACACATTTACATGCTGTAATTGAAGCTAAATTTGGAAACGAGGCATACAAATATTTTTCACCTCAATAACGCTTCTTATTACATTTTAACAAGCTATGCAGGAAGATTCATCCTCTTGCTGGTGGATGTATAAACAAACAAAAATAAAAACACTACAGTAAGTTTTTTGACAGCAAAATGTTGGCAATCAGGTTATTTTAGTAAGCATGAAATTAAAAATGAGAAGGTATTTATATAAATGAGATTTAGGCAGTCTGTTTCATTTATGCAAAATATGTACTTCTGTCCGAATTAAATTCTTATTTTAGACACATTTAAAATACCATATTTCACTGGTTTCTCTTACTACAGAATAAATTCTTCAATCCTTGCTTCAATTTTATGTAATGTATGAGAATGTCAACTAGATGTTAAGGTAAACATCTCAAATTCAAATGGGTTTGCCACTCATACACACTTTATCCACTTCCGTGAAGACTAGATGTAATAATTGTGTGTGAAAAGGCTAATCTCTATTCTGGGTAGATTAAGATTGATCGGGACTTTGTTCCCCCATATTGTTCCTCAATTTTATATTTTTACACATTTTTTCAATAATGCTATTACACTAACTAAGCATATAAACTCAAGGTAATCTGAGAACATATATATATATAGTGCTTTTTAGACAAGACATTTCTTTGAAGGTTTTGAGGGAGGAGAGCTCACATCGTGTATAATGATGTTAAATCTGTAACATTAGTTTTATCTCCTTGAGATTGAACAGTATGAATTAATCAGAGAAGTTGTTGTAGGTACTGCAGCACATTAATTGGCAGGTATGCTAATATCAGCAATATCCAAGTTGTTTTCAAATACTACTGCAATGTGATCGTTCAATAACTGATAAGCATCCAGCTGACTACCTTTCTTTGAAGCACTGATTCATTATTGATGGATTTTGTCTTCTCTAACCACTTTTGCTTGCTTCAGCTTTCTCTTACTACTGCTTAAGTTACACAAATCAATAATGTGTGTTTTGTAAGCAAATTCCATTAGAGGTCTGATGTTTTGCTCTCTGTGAATTCTGAAACAACCAACCAATCACACAAAGTTAATTTTACTTTCCAGTGAGTTTCTCATAGATTGCAGTAAAGGGTTTTAGGCTATCCACAAGCACTGGCAATAACTTTACTAACTTAGAGCTTCCTTGAATTATTGTAAATACTGAAAAACAGATAAAACAGCATATGTATGGCATAGATAATGATGCCTCAGGTGTAATAGATTACTGGTTTAAATTAACTGAGTTTAGATATTCTTAATTTCTGTTTACTGTAACATTTGCCCCTGCACAGTAGGTCAGTGGCAGTTCAGGTTTATTTCTTAAATGTATTACTACTGTCCCCACAAGGTGGTGCTCAGATATATTCAGTTTACTGTAGAAAGCGACTCTGGGCTGTGCACTCAAACAAAAAAAAACTTTTTTACAGCTTTTAGTATTTTTTTGCTAGTAACACAAAGGCTGAAACCTTTATACCTCAATTTCAGTTTTCATTTTTTTAGCGCAACAACCAATTATATGTGAAAAACATTCTCAGACACTGAAATTAGGAGAGGCTGCCCCTTTAAAGGCTTGAGAAGCAGATAAAATATAATACCAGTTTATTAAGTATAATGTACTATGCTCTCTTTCTCAAGGGCTTAGCAGTTATCTGAGATCCTGTATGAATTTATAGCACCATATCGTGGCAGGAGTTGGAATTAGCGATGAACTGTAGTAGTGATATAAAGATTGAGATGTAAGGAGTTAAGGAGGGGAAGAAGAATATTCTGGATTTATATAGAACTGTTCAAGAGATATGCTGGTGATGCTGTTAAAAACAGGTGTAGTTTGCATCTATAGTTATATAAAATATAAACAGCAATATTCAAAGATTTGCTTCTGCTGTTATTTACTGTATTATAGCACTATATATAAAACAATTTCCTTTGAATTGATCAGAACATAACTCTATGAAGGCTATTTTCCTTTATTGCCTTATATATGATCTTCTTAGCAGTAAACAATATCAAATCAATATGGATTTGCTTTATATTTGTGATGAGTCTTGTGTTCTGTGTTTCTTTATGTACTTTACAAAAAAATAATTGGAATAGATTGTGTTAAGGATTTTAAAACACATTTTCTTTATTTTTTTATTATTTGTGTGTTTTTGGAAAGGTTAATGCTTGAGAGAAGCATTGATTAATTAAATAATCCCTAGAAAAATATCTTCTTGTCAGTTAAATTATGTTGAATTTTGTGAATATTAATCAGTTCTTCTTGGTGGTTTACCTGAATAGTAATCGAGAGTATAAATTTTAAAACTTATTATCTGAATGAAACTGGGTGGTAATTATTACGATGATGACACGAAAAGGTTCTATAAGCATCGTTATGTGGAAATATTTATACATAAACTATGAATTTGTTCCTGAAACCAGTTTTTATTTGGGGAAAAAAAGATAATCTCTAATAGGAACTGGTTACATACACTGAAAATTTGAAGGATGTTGGGACAGATTTTGTTTAACATTGGATAAAATACCAACTAGTTACTGTAGCTGCATTTTACCCTTTAGCCTTTACCCTTTAGCCTGTTGTACGTATTTGATTAGGTGTTTTATTTCTGATTCTTCTTATATCTTTGGATAAACTGTTGACTCAGTCTTTATTTTTATTTTGTCAGCAGGGAAAGCTATACTCTTATGTATAGATTTAATGGCTTTTAAAATAAATGTTAATGATAACCTAAAATTCTGTAAAGACAAAGGCTATACAAAACTGTTATAGATGAAATCATTGACCTATTAGATACAGTTCTGATTTCAATGTTGCACACAAAAACTGGAATTTGGAAAAACGTTAAAGCCACCGATATGAATGTGATTTTACAAAAGGCAAATTGGTGCAAACCCATGAGCTAAATTCTAACTACTTAAGAACGTACAGTTTGTAAATGAGTGGAGACCATCTAGATTCAATTACAGTAGCTCAGTGAATGGAGGGCCCTAGCAGCAAAGAGATGACGGTAGAGGCTGTGGAAATGTGGCTGGGTAGCTCATTCCAGACTCTCACAACACTCCTCCTCTTCTTAGTTGTACAAGACCTTCTAGTTTCCATCTGTGTCCCCTTGCTTGATGTTGAAGAAAATCAGTTAAGTTATCTTTGTTGATGGTGTGGAGGAATTTGAGTAATTGAATTGTGTCTCTTTATAGTGTTTTCTACTTAAAGAGACAAAAAATATGTTGTTCTTCTAGCTTGTCAGAGTAGGGCATTCTTTTGAGGGGTTAATTTTGTTGCTTTTTCCTGTACTTCAGAGCAGCATCTTATTTTTATTGCAGTCACTAAAATTATACAAATTTCATAAACAAAGGCTCATAAACAATATGTTTGAATGGCGATATATATATTTTTCTGAGTGATGCTTAAGCATTGCAGTGTAAGTGGAACAATTACACTATTGAACTCTGTCAGTCATTTACATTTAAAGTGTGTTTCACAAAAAAGTAGTTTGCATGCATTTTGTTTCATTGTGTGGGGTTGAGAATTTTATGTTAATAATATTAGTGAACCTCAGCCTTTACATTTGATAACAAAGCTTTCTGATGTTGTCGTTTTCACAAAATTAGAGCTAAGAGGCTATACATCAACCAATATATGCTGTAATTCATTAACATACTGTATCATGCAAGCAATTTCTGTCACCCACGCCTTGTGTTTACCACAGCCGAACACTTTATTGAAGTGTTTAATGAAACTGGTACATTTCATTTGCACTTATAAAAAGCAGAATCGTGTTGTAGATTTGTTTTTTTTCGATTTTGTTACAGTCTCCATGTGATGTTCTAGGGACCAGGACATAGGAATATTCAATTAACATATTCAGCGTCTTCAGTTACTTCACAGTATTCACTAAGTTGTGGTAATTAAGGATGAGTAACTATTTCAATATATGATGAAACTGTGCATGATATTTCAGTTTCTTTTTAAAGCAGTCAATTTAGAAACCTCTTCAACCAGTAAAGAAAATGTTTTATGTACTAAAGTTACAAATATGCTGTTCTGTGAGCTACTACTTGTATTTTTCCAAGATTGGACATTTGAAAAAAATAAAGACTAAATGATTTGCAATACTGTTTGAATGTGTGAATGAAAGACTACCAGAACAGGATAAAATATTTTCGTAATTGAATTTAAACAAAATTCCTTGCCTTCAACTCAATTGAAGCTCATTGTTGGCAGATCTGCACAGGAATCTCATAGAACAGAGGTTTACTGCGGGATATACAGGACACTGGAGTTATGCAACATTAATTTTCTTTAGATCATACTACCAGATTTTCAATGAAGAATCTCTCACCCAATTCAACTTCTTCATTGGAAACAACAAGTTAATATTA